AAATACTATTGATCTTTAGAGTAGGAATGTGGTTTTCTCCACCTCTGAACTCTATTATCATGATATTCATACTTCGATAATCACTATAATGACTGTGAAAATCACAGTGAAAGAACCAACCTCAGCAACTTACAACTTTAAAGAAAGGAGGTGGTATTTCGATCAGACCTTGATTTGAATGTATCTAAAGACATTTTAACTATGCTTTCTGCAGAAGGGACAAAAGACATGTTTTCTCTCCTCACCCTTCTCACCACACACATAAATCTCCCACTGGGCTTCTGACTTGAAGTACGCTTGGTTCTATTACAGCCTTTCATGAAAGTACATTTGGATAGGGGCGAAATGGGAAGAAAATATAAGGACCCTGACTGTTTTGGGATACAATGTATTGCTTAGGCATGTTAGCCTATAGTGAGATTTGTATATTTCTAGTCTTTTCTCTAACATGATGCAAGTACATGCAGAAAATAATTTATCATTAAGCATTTTATCTTTTAAGGAACATAATGACCACCATTGTTGGAGAAAACAAACTCCTAGAGAGTTAGGAACTATGTTTAAATAAATCTCTGCATGCTATGCCTCGCCTAGCACAGTCCCTTAGGTAATTAGATGCTTAATAACCAAAGACAATTACAGATATTCTGAAATTCTAGGCTCTATCTCATTCAGATACATTGTGCAAATATTCCGCCTAAATGAAGATCATCACTCCTTTAAAATTTAATGGAAACTCATTATTTAATACAGGATTTTAACATTTAGCTTTTTATTCTTTTATATAGTACTGCTTTGTAAACTCTGAAAAAAGTTGAAAAGCACCGAAAGGACCCTAACTTTAAATACTTAACCGATATTCCATTACCAGCAACTTAATTCTCACAGTGAAGAGACTTGCTCATAGTGAAGCACAACACAGTTCCTGTGAATCTATTTATAACAGATATTTACATTAATTTTAGTTAAACAAGGTACCGAGAATTCAAATGTCTAAAACCATCTGCAAGGTGAAAAACACTACAAAACCAGAGAATAAACTACAATTGAGGGTAGAAGATGAGAACCAGCCAACACAGATGAGAAAGACTGTAAAAGAAAAAAAAAACTTCACCCAAGAAAAATCTTCTGAGAACTTATTTTGTGACTCTCCTCATTCTTGTTGCCATTTTTCCAAAAACTAAGAAAAAATAGCTTTACAACATCAAAGATACTGTGCATAAGTGAACAACAAGTGAAGGAAGCAGCTCTGGACTTAAATAAGACAAAAATATTGTCAGTAGATTTCAAGGTTTATTTTAGTTTTACCAGGGTCAATCACACTGACATAGCAGGTGACACTGTCAAACAACGAGACAGAGTCTAAAACCCACACAGCAAAACAGTGCTTGATTTTGGAGGCTCACTTCAATACTTTGAAGAATTGAAAGCTTCATCCTCCAGGGGCTATTAAGGATATCAAGTGATAGGATGCAGAGTTTGGAAATTCTTCAGCTATCTGGAATAATCTGTAGTGCTTTTCCCAAAAGTATACTGAAAAAGATCAGCCAGAGTCTGAAAAATAAAGGTTTTGCTGGAGGGTATTCTGCCCAAGCATGACATTTTTACAAGTGGCAAGATTCCTGGACAAATTGTTAACTAATCAAAACCTGGCATTTTCAATAAATATACTCTTGAGCCTCAAGGTAACACATAACTAAACCTGTATACTGGAAGAGTCAGATTGAAAACTGCATAGAGCCTTAAATCAATATTTCTGCTTACAAAGTCTAGAATTTACTTACATAAGAGCTGATGTTCTCAGTAAAGGGATCACAGGATGTCAGAATTCAAGTTTTCTGGCATCGTCCTCGCTTCATAACAGAAATCATTTCACTTCATTCTAATATTTTCTTAAAGACACCATATGCCAGGATAAAGTACTCCATTGTTTCATGAATGTATTAGGTGATTTTTTTAGGTTGAATTAAGTGTGGCTCTAGAAATAGTATTTAAACATATTTAAAATATTAAAACACAGAGTCAATCACTTAAAATGATCAAAACCCACAAGATAAATATTTAAAGTATATAATACTTTAAGTATATAACCTGTCATCTATACAGTGAATGACTTTGGCTATTATTATAAGGTTTTTTCTTAATACAGCAGTGAAATAGTACTTGATAGTTGAACAACTGCGTGTTTTCTGCCAGCATGAGTAGCTAGTGCGACTGGAAAACTGCAGCATCTCTCATTATTCTGATCACTCCACCTTTGTGAAATTATCCTAGTAATTCAATTGAACAGTTTCTCTACGTTCTGGGATCCATTAAACTTTTGTTCACCAGAGGTCTACAGAAATTCCTTTGCCTGCAGTCCCTAGCTGATTTGATGGATGATGTCTGAACAGCCTATGAAATGTTAACTTTTAAAATTTTTTTCTACCCTAACCACTTTAACTTTTAACTTTCTGATGATGCAGAAAACCAGTAAAAGGAAACATTAGGCAGAACATCATCTAATAGTATTAGTTAAGTTCAGGTAGTTAAAGAATCCAGATGTCATCACCTGGTACTGTCAAGGCACTCACAAGCAAATACTTAAGTTTAATTCCCATAACATTCGCGGCACTTTCAAGTCCCACTTCTTGAGCTCTCTTCCCACTCTCAAACTTGTGTGCCAATTCATGTTCTTGCAGACCAGGAAAAATTACGTTTCTTCTGCCTTGGAGATCGATGCAGAGGAAGGCATCAGATGTCAGTTATCTTAACTTGTTCGGGAAGAGGCTCAGAAATCTGTCTTCTACTTTTGTTTTCCCAATCCATTACGAAGTTTTGGGACAGAGTCCCAAAGGCATTAGCTTGACATGGTGATATTCCTCTTCAAGAACCCTATTATCTCCCACTAGAAGGGAGAGTGGTGTGGACTCCGGTGCAACCCTCTGTAACCCCCTAACACAAACATAAGAGGTGGGAATGGGGAGGGGGTCACAGGAGGAGGAGGAAAAGAGGTCGGGAGAAGAGACTCACCGCTCCTGCCAGTTCCTCGGTCAGGCACAACGTAACCAGGAGCAGCCAAAACCTGAAACGGGAGGGAGGGTGAGTAATATGGGCTCTCTTGGCTCCGGGGTCCTGCGTCTGCCGCTAGCCCCCGACCCCTTTTTGATGCCGGCTCCTACTTTCTCTGTAGTGACAGAAGTACAAGTATAGTCCCGGCCTGGTAAAGTAGCCCGAAGTAGGAAAGAGGAGGGGAGCTCGGGGCAGCAACAGCTCACCCAGGGTGCATGCTTGTGGCTTCTCCGGAGTTGGGTCCCGGGAGACTGCTAAGCGGCTCCGCGGCCCCGGCTCATCCGGGCTCCGCGGATGCTTGGCGGCTGCTTCCTTACTCGGGTCAGGGTAGGGGGTCGAAATGGCCCAATTCGGAAGAAACTAAACTCAGCTTCCAGATAAGAAGTGTCCCAAAGGGAAACACGCTCAGCGGTGCCCGCTACAACTTGCCGAATTCAAGAGATAGTTCCATACACCAGGAGAGGAAGGAATGGAGGGGAAAGGGGCGGGGCCGTGTGCTGTCAATCATCCCCCCTACCTTGGGCAGCCGGTTGCCTTTCTCGCTCTCAGGCACCTCTGCACACAACAGTCGCAAGTATCTCCACAACCTCACGCACAGGCCCCTATCCTCCTATACACTAAGACCTAAGCAACTACGCTTCATACACCTCCATAAACCACTGTTAAGTTACAGATAAATAGACTTAGGCATGCTACTTTTACATAGACAGGTGGGCCCGAAAGTGCCCTTCACACACGCCCAAATGCCTAGGACACTCATTTTAACTGCTTGTGCACTAAGCTCTTGGGAAGGGGTCGGGGGTTCTGGAATTGTAAATTTACTCTAAACTCAGTGAGTGGACCTCCATGAGACAGATCCAAAACCTTGAAAGACTTTGAAAAGGTTAATCCTAGAGACTGAGACAACAGAAATGTTGTGAAGAATTCTTATAGCAGGCTCCTAAAATGCCCTCCAAGGAGTGCACATAAAGTATTCTCTGTGCATTTTGGTACTTTAAAAAACATCTATATTAGAATTATCAAAGTAATTCTCAAGTCTGCTTTATCTGGGAGTCATCAAACTGCCATCAACGCCATATAAATATTTCTAATGAAGTGTTTGTGTTAATTCTCAGGAAAATCGCACCAAAGTTATTTAATTTCCTGCCCTAAATCCTTCTGAAACACAACTACAACGAGTCAATCCCTTTTATGTTAACTCAACATAGGAGGTAAATATTAATCATGACATTCAATCTAGCTAAATAAAAAGATATGACTGTATTACAATAATATTCAACCATATGATTACTAATATCTACTGAATGCTCCCAAATCTTGTATGTATATAACACACTTAAAGTATTCACACACATATACATATGTTCATTTTCTTACTTCGCTTATAAGAATATATTTAATTCTATATATTTTCAACATTTTCACATCTTCTGCTTGTATGAAGAAACTCTCTGTCCTGCAATCAGCTGAAAGGCAAAGAAGACCAACAGCCCAAGGAGCAGCGACCAAAATTTCTTTCTAATGATTAACAATAAAACAGCACAGTCCCTCTGAGATCCATCCGCTAAAAAATAGTCCCTTCCCAGGTCTATTTGCAATTGGCTTTGATGCTTACACCAATGAGAATGGGACTAGGCAGGGAAGAGTAGTATCAACGGAAGGTGCAAATGAACGAATAGAAAAGCTTCCCGGCTGGAGTCATGGTGCTCACTTAACTGGTCTGGAAGTTTCCCTCCCCCAAATAACTGAGCGTCACTCCCTCGCAGGTTGCTGGGGCAGTCTAGAGCTGTGGCGGAGTGATACTCAAATTCCCCTGTGCTGGTGAGGAGGGGGCGGTGCGGGGGGAAAGAGAGGGAGGAAAGTAGATCTGTAGGTCCTGAGTGAGGAAAAAGTTTGCAAGTCTGGACAGAGGGGAAAAGTGCTCCCGAGAGACCGGACTTGGGGCGGGGAGGGGGGAGGGAAGAATAGCGTCTTCTTTTTTTTCTCCACTCTTAAAGAGCTGCTTTCTCTTCACCCAAGCCGACCGGCACAATTGGGACAAACTTGCTGTCTCTCTCTGGCTCTAGCTCTCTCTCAATAAACCCTCAAGATTATGTCAATTGGTCAGAGCCAGCCGGGGATTTCGTGTGGGTGCTGAAGGAGCTGCGGGAGCCGGAGAAGAATGAAACTGCGTGGAGTCAGCCTGGCTGCCGGCTTGCTCTTACTGGCCCTGAGTCTTTGGGGGCAGCCTGCAGAGGCTGCGGTAAGTCCTTCACCCCCCCAACCCCCCGTCACCGCACTCTCACGCTGGAATCAACTTTTTGTCGCTTCACCTTCCTTTCTCCTCGGCCTTGGCTAGGGAATTCAAATTTGCTTTCACTTGTTTAGGAAGAAACATTATTTACAATGCTGGTAACTCAAGCCTTCTGAAGTCCAAGGGAGAGGTTTAAGTGTTTAAAAATAGGGCTGCTTGCTTCCCTGCAGCTAGCTACTCGGGGGACTAAAGCAGAGCGAGGGGTGGGGGACGCATATTAATGGGTTACTTGGTTCTGATGGGTATTTAAATCGTTTCCTCCGCACCCTCCGCCCTCGGTGTTTCCCTGCCTGCACGCCAAACTCTTCACTACTTCTACCCAGCCCACGCACTTTTAAACTTTGTCTGTAGTTTAATATTTTGGCTCTTGTAAAACCCAGCTTCCATCAAAGTGTTAAGCGGCCCATGGAGTTTCCCCCCTTTGCTCTTTCCTTAAGCAGCATGAACCTACCCTCACCTCAGGTCAGTAAAGCCACTGACCTGCTTTCGCCTTCTGACATCCTTGTTACAAAAGCTAAGGTAACATACCAAGAAGAGTGAGGTAAAGAAGGATGGCCTCAGGCTTCAGGTCTTCTGTATCTTCTTTTTTATTATTGAGTTACAAGTTTTTGTTTGTTTACTTTTTTTTTTTAATTCACCAAGGCACCTGAACAAATTGGGAATTTGCCCATCACCTATTTAAAAGAAAATAGTTCTCTTTTTTCAAAGGAGAATGCGCGTTCTCCTTTAAAGAAGAACGAGGGAGGAAGTACATGTGAAATAACAGAGCAAAAAGTACCACTTAGTTTTAAGAATGTGGAATTAAATCCCTGATGTCTATCCTAAAAGGCTGTCTGGGTAGTCCCACCCACTGTCCTTCATGGGATGAGAGGCAGGTATAGAGGAATAAATGGCTTTGTTAGAGAAAATGATCTCCAGCCTGGAGCCCATCATCTTTAATTTCATTTAACCTCTAAAGAATAAGTGTGTGACAAATTGTTTAAATGTTATATTTGAGTGATCATAATGGGTGGTTTTAAAAACGCTTTAATATGAGATCATGGCTTAGGCCTTCTTATGGTTGAGTAGCTGTCAATTCTTTATATGCAGCTGCTATGTTATAGCTTATCTGGGTCCACTTTTTAAAGTTAGCTATCTAGCTTTCCTATAGCACACCGCATGCCTCAGATCACATTGCCTTCCTTCTATCCTTCAGAGTGTGTACACAAGGTATGAATACTAACTTTCATATTACTCAAAGCACAACATGATTACGATGGCAAATCTGAAAAACCAATGCGTATCAAATATTTTAAATTATACATACCCTAATTTTCCTTCATCAAAGTAGATAAATGATTTAAAATTGCTTTTTTGATGCAGAGCATCTTAATATGAGGTGAGGTTTAGCCATTCAATAGAGTTACAAACCACTGGATAAAACTACAGTTGTGATGTTGAAATAGTTAATTTTAAAAACATCTTGGTGCCTACTGCTTCTGGTATTTGGCCCAGGGGCAAAGATTTTGGGGATGTTTGATTAAATATTTCTCTTTTTATTTCTTTTGACCTTGCTATTAATAAATGTGCACCAGATACCAATTATACAGGTATGTATAGCAACTCTACAAATCAATTTTTATCAGTTTATGTTAAAAATGAGATTTCTTTTTGTGATTGATAAAACTTGAGAGCAAGCTTGTTTTCTTAACGATTGAGTATTCATGAAGTAATTACAGTTTTTTCCTTTTTCCTTCTATATGATTTTCTAAGGAACATTTTACATCTCATTTTCCTATCATTAGGATATTGTGCCTCTGTTTAACCAGGGGTTTGCTTTTCCTGCTTCGCACATCAATATCCCAGTTAGACAAATGTTTTAATCATCTCAAAAATATGAATGGTATCTGCTCTCCATACTAATGCTGGGGATATTGGTGACCTTTTCTGCAGAGTAAAACTGGATGGTAGTGGGGTTAGTTGTTGACTGAAGTGGTCTAGTATTGCAGCTTTTATATCAGGAAGAACATTTCTACTTAAATTGCTTTACTTTTTCGTAGTGAGATGATTTTTTTATTTCTTAAGTCATGCCAAATTGGGATATCACAAATATGTGAAAGATTTTTTTCCAGGTAGTGTTCATTAGGCAGAGTAAAGTAACTCATATGCTGAAAGATAGCAGTAAGAGAAAAAGGCAACTTTAGGTTGGAAAGGTCATTTCTACTGATGGAAATACTGTGTTTTTATGTAAAGGTAATTATACCTGTACTACATCACTGTCAGTAAGATATGCATTTAGATTTATGGATATGGGTAGTGTTTAAAATTATACTCTTCCTACTATACAAATGTTAGTAAGTTGTTTTTCTCGTGTGTGTGCAATAGAGTGGATAGGTTTCTCTAATTTAAATGCACTATTTCCTTGTGACTAGAAGCAAGAATTCATCAAGTTTAGAAGTGTGGGTTGTGTCCATGAAACAGTTTTTTCTCTACAAAGTATACTGCTTCATAAGAAAAAATTGTTATCATCATTATAGTTTACATTTCTTGAGTGTTTACTATGTTCTAGACATTGTGCTAATGTGGTAATATACATTATCATGTTTAATCTTCACAACAGACCTATGAAGTGTATACGGTTATTATCCCCACTTTACAGAAGAGAAAACTGCAAATCATGGTAATAAGTTGTGGAGCTGGAAAATCTGAACTCAGACAGTTTTTCTCCAAATTCTTTGCATTTAACAACTAGCCTATACTGCCTCCTTTGTATGTGGTCTATAGAGATGTATTTGGTGTTCAGAATATTTGGATCTCTGCTACCATTTTTGTTTTTTGGACACAGGAAGTGAAATGGAAATAATGTTCCTGCTGATGTTAGGAGAAGCAGCATGGTATAATGGAAAGAGCTTTGGGCTTAGACTAAAAAGATGAGAGTTTGATCTCGATGTCTATATCTGTACAGAGTAAGATAATCTAAAAGCAATTACTGTTGCAAATTGTGTGATTTTATGCAAACACAATGTATAAAAACTCAGATTTACAAAACAACTATAATTTGTGATACATGATGTTTTGAAGAAAGATTTGCCTTATTATTGTTTAATTAGTCAGTTTCCCCAGTAATTTTAAATACACCAAACTTTTCAAGAACATGTCTATTGTGAAATGGGGTATGTGTGTATGGTGGCACATTTTGCTGAAGATGCTCAATTCAGTTTTGTTGTTTTTACCCATTTACCTACACATTATATCCAGTTCTATTCATTCAGCTATCTATATATCTTTAGTCTTGTGCATATGTGTGTATGCCTATCTGTCCCATGACTGTGTAAGAATGTGTACATTTTTTTCTGTGTTTTTATTTGGCTTTTGATGTATATGCAAGACATGAGACTCTTTATCTTGAGTTAAACATGCTAACTTGGTTAAGATGGTGTCTGCCAGGTTTATCCCCTGTAAAGTCACTATTTTTTCCATTTGTAATTACAAACTGGGAAGATCTTGTGAGACTATGCAGAGTGATGTTGTGAGACAGTGTAAATATCCTGTTTCTCATCATACCTTGACCTGCTAGTTTTAGCATCTATTGATGATTCTGGCCCAAATAATTATTACTGTAACATTTGCCTAATGGTGATTTCAATTTTCAACATTTTTCTACATTTATTAATTGAATTCTACGGTAATGAGGTACTTTCCCTTCTCCACTAGTTATTTATTTATGAATTTATGTGGAATTGTTGTGATTGTTGTGTCTTTTTTCCCTTCTATAAAAAAAAAATGAAATACTATCATTCGCAGCAAAATGGATGGACTTTTAGAGAAAATTATATTAAGTGAAATAAGCCAGGCACAGAAAGAGAAATACCGCATGTTCTCATGTATTGGTGGGAGCTAATAAAAATAAATAAGTAAATAAACAAATGAACAGAAGACATAAAATATTATTTTAAAATAATTACGTACAATTTGTATTTATACGCACCACTTTACCTGTTCACTTTTGTAGAATATATTTTAAAATTTTACGTATTTTTTAGTCATTGTAAAGAGTACTGCCGTAAACATTTCTTATTCCATATTTTTTATTATTTTATTGCTTATTAACTCCTTCATGGGGAACACAAACTGTTTTTAAGGTCTTTGATACATACGGTAGACTCTGATATTTAGAAAAGCTCTATCAATAGATAAATTGTGATAGTTTTTTTTTTAGTGGTTACTATGTTATACCCTGTTAGGTAGAGAATACTATTTGCATTTTTATATACAAGAATACTAAGGCCCAGAGGAGTTAAATAATGTGCTCAAGGTCGTGCAGTTAATAAGTGATTGGGCCAAGATTAGAACCAAGGCAGTCTGGCTATGGAACCTGCTTATGAGATTTTCCTCAGTCCCTATTTCATACAGATAGAGAATAGAGAAAAATAAAGTCATGGTGAAACGTCGAATAATTCCTTCTGTCCTTTTCACAACCACTTTCTGTGACTGGTGACTTAACTTGATTCTAAAAATAGGCTCACTACTGGCCCATCTTTTATTTTTTTTTTAATTGTGACATTTACTTGTACATGTTTGTGGGATACAGTGTGTTGATTCAATACATCCATATACTGCACAAGGATTCACTTAGGGTAGATAGCATGGTTTTGTACCCCCATCTTTTAATAACTCTTTACTGTAACTGCCTGGGCTATTCATCCTCAAGGGGCTAAATTTTAATTTTGTGAACGATGCATCCCTCTACTTTTCTCCCCTGGACAGAAGATGCAGCCTGCCGTCCATGAATGCCTGTCCCACGTCTTCCTGTCTATAAGAAGGATATAACATACCCCAAATCCACTGGCATTCCTCCTGCTCCAGGAGAGTTCTGTGAATGCATCCGAAATAGGAGCCCCTTCGACCCTCCTTCCCCACTGCCTTCATCAGACCCTGCACTGTAGCTGCATATTAGTTTTGCATTTAAA